GGAGACTACATACCAGAACGTATGGTAATAGTACTGTAACTATTCGTAGCATACTGCCAGGTTTGTCACGTTTGGGAAAATTCATAGCACATTTTTGGCACATCCATCTATTCAGGATAATGGCGATGAAGATATATATATTTTAAAAAATAGATGTTTTTAATGGCCCTATTTATTCTACTGAGGCAAGATAGTAAGTTAGCTAAATCTCCATCATCAATCTGGATGCCTCAGGTACAGATTTAGGGCTCTGCAAAGCCAGTTGCTTGTCTTTTAATCCAATTATGCTCAAAGACTTCAAAATTGATATAGAGACTGCAGATTTTTAGTTGTGTGTGTGTGCACTCGTGTGTGTGTCTTACCGTCTCTAGCGGAGACACCTTATTTCATTGGGGGAAAAAAAAAACACAACCCTGAAATGTTTTAAGATTTATGAAGTCAGAAGCATCCCTGACAGCTTGCATGGTTGTTTGACTACTTTCATTGCTTCAGCATGAACTTGTAACCCAAGGGAAGCTGAAACCTTCAGCAGAATTTAAAGCTGGAGGCCTGAACCCCCAGGCCCCAGCATCTGAAAGAGTTGCTAGGAGTCTGACAGGGGATTAGGACCCGGACAGAGCCGGGAAATGATAACGAAGTCCACTGTATGCGTGGTGAGAGAGTCAACTCTTAGCTGGAAAACTGGCAGGTTAAAAGAAGAAGAAGCCAGGTAAAGAGAAGTTTCTGGCACAGATGGCAGTGCTGGGGAAGTGAGGAGATGAGACTGCAGTAAGGCTGATCCTTCCTCTGGAAGTTAAGTAGCGGCTGCTCCCGTGAGTCCCTTCTAGTTGTTGCCTTCACGTTTGCACGCACCTGTCACAGGCCCACACTGCGACCCGGGGCACCTTCCTGTCACCCAGGATCAGCTAGGCCTTCCACCACTGCCTGCTCCACAGATGTTTCGAGAGCTCAAGGGATCACCTCCCCACATCCCAGATGAGTGGATGCCCAGGGTCACTAGATACAGAATTTTCAAGTTTCTAACTACGTTCCTCTGGGCCCCCAGAAGTGCTCAGCATCCTGTTTACTGACCTCCATACAAATTTTTCTCAACCTCCACTGAGCCCTGTCCACATGTCCTCTGGTGTCTTCAGCCCCTGATTCAATCCTCCTTACTTTCGTACTACTTTGATCATGGAAAAGCTGACTCACTGAGTCCTTCCATTTAACAGTGCAGGACCTCTGTCTGTAGCTAACACCCTGGATGCCCTTGAATACCCTTGACAATGCAACGAAGTGTGGTGGCAAGACAACAGAGTTCCAACCTGGTTCAGGCTTGAGTCAGCCAGTTTCTAGCCCTGTGACCTTTAGCAAACTTTTAACCTTGCAGAGCCTCAGTTTGCTCATCTTCAGAATGGGACTAACAGTGCACAGTGTAGAAGGTCATCTGGGGACTAAGGAGATCCTAGATGTGAAGAGTTAGCACGGGGTCACGTAATGGTTATCTCTTGTCATCTTTCTGCCTTTCTCTTTTAACTGTGCTCCCCTCCTTACCCCTTTCTCTCCTTACTGTTTTATAATCTAGTGCTGTGCTTAGTCGCTCTGTCGTGTCCCACTCTTTGCAACCCCATGGACTGTAGCCCACCAGGCTCCTCTGTCCATGGGGATTCTCCAGGCAAGAATACTGGAGTGGGTTGCCATGCCCTCCTCCAGGGGATCTTCCCAACTCAAGGATCGAACCCAGGTCTCCCACACTGCAGGCAGATCCTTTACCATCTGAGCCACAAGGGAAGCCCAAGAATACTGGAGTGGGTAGCCTATCCCTTCTCCAGGGGATCTTCCCAACCTCAGCTTCAAATTGGGGTTTCCTGCATTGCAGGATTCCTTACCAGCTGAGCTACCAGGGAAGCTCATTTTATAATCTGAAGCTCATACAAATGGCTTTGGTTTACATAGCCTGGAGCTCTATTAAGAGATGACTGGAGGGACTTCCCTGGTGGTCCAGTGGTTAAGACGTCACCTTCCTATGCAGGGGTTGTGGGTTCAACCCCTGGTAGGGGAGCTAAGATCTCACATGCCTTGGGCCAAAAACCCAAAACATAAAACAGAGGCAATACTGTAACCAAATTCAATAAAGATTTTTTAAATGATCCACTTTAAAAAAAAATCTTTAAAAAACAGATGACTAGAAGTACCCATATAATTTGGAAGGTGTCACCCAATGAGACGCCACTCTATCTTGTTTCCTCTTTTCCTTCAGGCAGAACCTCAGATTACACCAGAGATAAGACACTTGTAAGGCTTTCAATAAAGACACATCATTTCATCTTGTCAAATGTTTAAATCCTCCTCAAATTCTAACTTAGATTCCAAGGCTATTGTTTCATTAACCAAAAAAGAAAAATTGTTTTCCATGCATCACTGAGTTTGCTCTTGTGTTTAAAACTCTAGACCCTCTAATCCTAATTCTCTGGGATTGTCCTCCCACTTCTCTTTGACTTGTCTAGTTGGGAAGTGAATCAAGGGAGGGTGGTCCTTCACGCGTCCGGCACTTGCACCCCTCTTAAAGAGCACTGCTTTACTCCTCGTTGAGACCAAGGCTTCCAGCTCCAGATCTTCTGGGCCTTGTCCTCCCCTGCTCTTTCAACTTTCTCGCTGTCACTCTCCCACGGAAACTCTTAACTAGAGGGGGAATGGTTGACCATGGCAAACATGCCTTGCAGCTGCCCACTCAGGCCCACCTATGCCCCAGCACCGCCCCACCACCCGCACCTGTCAGTACACTCCTACCGTCAGGGACCTAGTGGGATCCTGGATTCCTTGTGGAGTCGGTGCTCACTAAAACTCATCCTCTTTCCCCGGAACTCCTCTGGTGTTTCTCGCTGAGCCATGTGGCTACACTGCCTGCTAGTAGCTCTTTTCCACCTTATTGGCCTGTGTACTCTTTGACGTGGTGTGTGACCTCTGTCTCCCAGTTAGCCCGGGAGGGTCTGGCGGATGGCAGCGCTATCTTTTCCACACCTGACCGTCCCCAGCACAGCCCGGCACAGAGCAGGTACTGCAGACGGCGCTTTCCATCCAGGTGTCACCCCAGCTTTACTCCAGTCGGCCTTCACTTTATATTTCTTTCCACAATGCAGAATTTTTAAAAAAGATTTGAATTCACTCTGCATCATTGGAAAGCCCCCTTCATCTAGATTTGGTTTCAGATGTGACTTAATAAGCAAGATAAGTGTTCCTTCTCCTAGCCGTTAATAAAGCAGCACAAGAAGAGCATAAATTGAGCATCCACTGTGTGCAGGGCACGGAGCCAAGACTTGCGTTAAAGATTACAGAAAACATGAAAGATGTGGTACAACAGGGCAAAGATTCAGTTAGATATAAACTTATCTGTGTGTGTATATACACACACACACAGACACACAAACAAGGTCACCTAGCACCAAAAAGAATATAAATAGTGCAGATATATATAATGAAAAAGCATTAGGAGTTTATGGAAGAACTGTTGTAACGAATGGTGCTTAACAGAGGAGAAATGTTTTGGAACAGGTGATTAGGACCCAAGTTTTGAAGAAAGAGAGGGACTACAGGGTCCATAAGAGCAAAGACCATACCTGTTTTTGGTCACTATTATTTCTCCATCACTTACTGTAGTGCCTGGCCCATTGCAGGCATGCAGTTACTATTAGCTTAATAAACAAATAGCTGAATGCTGAAAAAAGGAGTAAATCCCATGTGGAAGGACCTGGGAGCAAGCTTGCTGTGCTTGGAAAGCAGCAAACATATTTTCCTGGGTAGAGCCAAGAAATTCCATGCAAAATTATGGAGAGGAAGTAGGGAAGGAAATGATGAATGACACTGAAGTCCTGCCAGGAATTCTGGTTTAAATAGATAGCAACAATTATATATTCATTCATTTATCCCACAAATATTTACTAAGCATCTACTAGGAGCCAAAGTACATGCTAAGACCTGGGGATTCTATAGTCACAGCACACACTTCCTGTCTTCTAGGATCCTGCAGTGTCTTCGGCACACACTCGTAAATGGTGGCACATGACCCTGGCTCTTCTTATTCTCACAGTAGTGAACAAAGGAGAGAAATCAGGCCAGTCTTGCTTGTAAATGGCTCCGGCAGAGAGCAGAGGCCTCAGCTCATGTGAGCCCCAGGGTGGAGTATGTCATGACAGCAGATGAGTTGAGGGCCGCGAGAAGGATTAAAAAGTTATGGGAGGGGGTGGCCCAGTGGTAAAGAATCCGCCTGCCAGTGCAGGAGACGCAAGTTCAGTCCCTGATCTGGGAAGACCCCACGTGCCGTGGAACAACGAAGCCCGATCACCCTAGAGCCGGTGCTCTGCATCAGGAGAAGCTGTCACAGTGAGAGCCTGTGAACCAGTGAGAGCAGGCCCCAGTCACCGCAATGGGGGGGGGGAGGGGGGGGCTGAGCAACAAGGAAGCCCAGCAGAGCCAAAACTAACACACATAAACAGTTATAAAACTTAAGCAAGAACCTGCCCCCTGCAAAGCTGCCTGGGATTATAGAGAGGCTGATCAAGTGGCTGTGGAACCAGACTGAGTTTATTTAGGGGTTCCTGCCTGAGCCCGGGTCCATCAGTTTCCCTTGGCTTCGGGACAGAATTATGGACTATGAGGATAAAACTCTTGTGTTGGGGGGGAAAAATGTTTTTTAGATTTTTTTTTTTGGTTGCCCAGATAAACTTGCTTTTTGACATGTGTCTCTAGAGTGATGACTGGAATCAATTTTACTAATAACAAAATACAGAAAATTTTTATTTAGGGACAAAGTAAGAGGGTGAAATGACACAGCAAATTAATTTCAGAGCAGTACTTCCAACAACAGCGTTTAATGAGGGGACACTGGTCAGTTTCTTCCTGAAATGTTATGAATTTTAAGATCACTGCCTGTTACTGGAATATCTTGGCCTCATTTCCCATTTATTTCATTTTTTTTCTTCTCCTTTTTTTTTTTTATTTCTTTTTTTTTTTTTCCCCTCCAGGATGACGGCCTCCCAGAAAATGAACATCAGCTGTCAGTAGCGGGAAAGATAAAGAAGCATTTCAACACAGGTCCCAAACCGAATAGCACAGCAGCTGGAGTTTCTGTCATAGCAGTAAGCATCTGAAATATCCACCTATAACTTTTTCAAAGCAATCCACCTAAGAGACAGGCATTACTCAGGAGATTCCACCCAGAGACAGCAGAATGGGTCATTTCTTTAGACAGCTCGACCACGGAAAGCACTGGGAGAGGTCTGGGGCTTATATATAAGATGTGTTTTTACTGATCATTTCCGTGGGAGTTGCATCATTATCCAACACCTCCAGGGTGCCTTGCAGTATATATTAATTTCATGATTTATTTTTTTAAAGCAGAAAACCCCTCCCACACTGGACTCTGTGCCAGTGCAAACTTCTGGGCTCTGAGAAAAAAAGTTCCTCGTGTCCTTTTGCCAGGACCTGGGAGGGAAGGGGAGCTGAGACACGGCAGAGGGAGGTTGGTGCACTATAGATCTTTGTACAAGACTTAAACGAAAGCCAAAAACATGGCAGGACGCTTACCCACTGAGATTTTCAGTGAAACTGAATTGCTGTGAACACCCAAAGAAATCACGATTTCTTGCTCCTTAGAAATGTCTGTTTTCAAAGTGGAGAGTCTTTTAATATTTACCATTTTGTTGATGCGGCTGCACAAGCCTTTTTTTTTTTCTTTTCCTCTGTTCCATACATGCAGATATACACTACATGCAATTTGATAGCAGCTCTAGGCAAAGATTAAATTGGGCAGAGAAATAATGAAACCTCATACTTCCTGGTGTCATATTCCAGAGTAAATATATTCAAGTCCCAGATTACTTGAGTTTTTAATAATTTCCTCTTTTTTCCCCTAAGTGTATACATTTTAAAGCGTATTCATTGTGAAATCACTTGAGCTGTTTTTCTTTTCCAAACAAACAACTTAGGCACTATGTCACATTTTTAAAAGTATTTATGCTACTAAGTACACATCATTCTTGTCAGCAATACTGAATATTTAACTACGTCTACTGGTGTTTTTCTTTCTCTTTTCTGTTTTTGGTTGTTTCAGAACTCCAGAAAAGAGACAAAGATAAATGAATGACCTATTAGATACAACCAGTCTCAGATCTGGGTTACTGAATATTTGATAGGAGCTTCCAGAATTTGCAGGTGGCACGCGTGCATGCATACACTTCCCTGGACTGTTCGCATATCATGATTTTTGATTGAACCCTTTCAGCAGGGAGTTACATGAATATAAGTCACTGGCTCACGAGCATCCTGACAACACTAAGTAGAATGCATACTCTTTCCTGGTTCTCCTCTGCGCTGCTGGGGATGTAATATACAAGTTGTTGTTCTGGCCCTCTCTCTCTGTTCTTTCTAAGGAAATTCAATGTAGAAGCACACGGTCCTTCATGTCTTCATCAGTGGTCTTGTTATCAGCTAACATTCAGTCCGTAATTTTTGAAAGTAACAATCTCATGGTGCTTCACAGGGAAACCAGACATTCTCTCCTCTGCTTTCATCATTCATTCAAGACATAAGTCTATTCCAAAATGTTTGCTTCCACAGTTTCCTTTTGGAATGGACTGCCAGCACGCTTGTCCATGAAAAGAACTGCTTTTCTGCTCCTGCTGAGGGTTTACAATTGCTAGAGAGGGTGCTTTTCCCACCTGTCATTTTGGGGTTTGTTTTCGTTTTTCCTGGCCTTTTATTTGAATTAGTCTTTGGTTAAGTTTGCCTTGGTTGCTCAAGAATGCTTTGTTCACAATCTTCTGGGAATCTTACGGGAATCTTATAATGACTGAGAGCAGGAACTTTAGGGCAATTCTTCAGTGGACAGACAACACAGATGGGAGGGGGAATCCTGCTTTAATCAAACATGGATAAATTTTGAAACCTATTCCATATGAGTTTGTTAAAACTTCATCTAAGTAGATCGCCCTCAAAACCGTCAGTTAGTATTTGAAGATTAAAAGTCCACTGATTTCTTTCTAAATATCATGACTGGACCATTTTGAATGCAATTTAGTATCAGTTTCTCAGTTCATCACCAACATGTTTCCATGGAGACTGTACCAACTGATAATAAACTTCTTGTAGAATGGGCTCTGTGATGCTGAGTTGTGCATTAGTTGCAAGCTGATTTAATCTCCTTATCCACTACAAAGTTGTGAAAAAAAATCACCCACTTAACTCAGGCTCAAAATAATTGACTTTTTGGAGAAATAACTGAAAAAGTGCCTTGTCAAATTCTAAAGCACAATTCACATGTTGACTACTATGATTAATATTTCAAATGAAAGAGAATATGGCTGTAAATTTCAGGGAGTATTTCAGGAGGAGCTCACGGACCATAATAGATGCATTTATGCATCTTCTCCAGAAAGCTTCTCCCTCAGATAAATGTCCACACCCTCCATAAAAACCTGGGGTAGGTCACCAGGTACAGGATGGGAGTTAGAAACCAGCCAGTTTGACTGCCTTTGTGCTTAGCTTTCAAAATGGCACTGGATAAGTTAATGTATACTCCATACCCCTGTTCCCATTCTTAAAGTGCAAAGATTAGACTCAGGGGACTATCGCCTGATGAAGGAGCCCTGGCATTAAAAATATCCCAACTCAAACTAAAGTTTAATTGCAAAGGAACGACATTCTGCTGTGAGGCAGAATATAAGTGAGAGGTAGAAGGAATGCCTTTCATAAATGATGGTTCTAGAAAGATCATTTGACAATTTAATAATGGAATATAATTATTGATTCACCCACATGATAGAAATTTATGTAATTATTACACTGTAATGAATTCTATTTGATGGGTATAGGGGAAAAAGAAACTGATTTTAGCATAGATTTCATTGAGACAGAATTTTTTTCTCATGGGCATGTATGCTTTTGCCAGAGGCTATCAAATGATGTTTTTTATTTTAAACTGCCACGATTATAAGACTGGTTTTTGGAAATTATACACACCCTTTAAAATTCGAAAATATATATACTGTCTAGAATGGAGTATCAATTGGCTTATTGGTTTTTTTTTTTCTTCAGAAAATCAGCAATTAAATTGTTGGTCTTTAACTGGTAATTCTCTTCCCTTAGTTAGAAACCTCACTGTTAGAAACCTCACTATCTGCTCGTAAAGGGATTCATGACACTTTTTCTTTCTCAGAGTGACAAAGGGAAAAAGAGCATACTGTCATAACAAACAGACTCTAGTCACAGGTATAATTTATGACATGAGGGTAGTTTAACATGCATTCATGGTTCTGAACCTTAATGTTTTCTGTTCGTGTTGTCATTTTTTTTCTTCTCTACCTCCCACCCCCTACATGATTAAGACCAAAGAGAGGACAAATGATAACTTTATATTAAGGTCCTCGAGTTGGCTGGGAGGGTAATTACCCACTGGAGGCTCACGGAGATCGTAGGGCCCTTCTCAGAGGAGGAAAGGTGCCTGGCATTTAGGTCAGATGACGTGATTAGGTGGGAGCCCGCTGCTGTCCTTATAACTGCAACACCCTGTCTCCATTGTCGCCTACTGCCTCACTACCTTTCCCAGTAGTTGGGGGATTAAAACAAAACTAAACCAAAGAAACCCAGAACAGAACAGAGAAAGGGAAACAAAAGGTTATTAAAATGCAATTTATAGACATAAAATGGAATTAGAGATGACATTTTAACGGTGGACTTCTTGAGAGCCGAGGGAGGGGAGGGAGGCGTTATTAGATTTGCTCAGCTTGATGAAGAACCGATGACTCAGATGTCAGTTCCAATTTATTTTTCCTCATTTAATGCTGTTTATTATTTTAACCGGTAATTTTCCTAATGCTTTCAAGTTCTTCTTTTGCATTTTGCTCATGCAAATAGAGAATTTCAGTCTAATTGAACAAATCCATACTAATCAGTGTACTAATAATTGTGATAGTGGCCAGCTTCCTTCTGAAGCGGGGGACCCCTGCACTAGAGCCATTTCCGAATGCGGTGTTATGGGCCGCCTTGCCTGTAGGTGGCAATAGAGAGCCAGTTACTGAGTTTCCCCGGGCTGAAACAGAAATGCAGGCCTTCATCTTCTAACAGCAAGTGTACCTCGATTTTTTTTTCCTAAATAAGACAAACTGTAAATTTTTTTTTTTTAAGATTAAAATCTCACAATGCTGTTCTGTGAATACTGGGATAGCCTAATTTGTCATCAGAATACCAAATCTTCTGAGCAGTTTCTAGTTTAAACGACCGGTGCCCTGGCATGTTTCTGAAATGCCTTTGTGAATTTTGTAGTAGAAACTGTCCTCAGCATCATGGCAGTACCACACTTGAAAGCACTCATGAGCCTCTCCAGAAAGAAAAGTGGTCAGCTTGCTTCCTCTCATGGGCAGAACGGGGAGTCGGGCATAAGGCATGATTACTGTTTCTCAAATTTTGGGGATTGAATCTTTTCTTCCTTGGGAAGCCAAAAGCTAACATCTTACTCCAGGAGGAACAACTTTGAGAACTTATCCTGTCTTCTATTTATTGTACCTTTTGTCATAAGCACTTACCTGTACATTTTTAATATACAGTGAAAACTTTCATTTTATTTTCTATAACTTCTTAGAGAAAATTTACTGTTTTATACTATATCTAGTTTAAAAATTAATTTCTTTAAGAGTAGCTTTGTTTTTGAAGATTAACTGTGAAAGAAATCCAAAGTGCTGTGATTCAAAACTCGATTCTTTGCATCTTTTATTTTTTTATGAAGGCCTCAAATTTAAGCTTGATATGGGGTAAGATTTTTTTGGCAGGGGGGTTTCCAATCTGCTTTCTCTTAGGTGGCTAAAGCTGATTTCAACACTTCATGGTAAAGCATTTAACACTGCTCTAGAATATGAAGAGGTGTTTATGTCTTTTGAAACTGAGAGGATATTATTAAATGTGCATTCAAAACTTGTTTGAAGGATTAGATCTTTTCTAACAAATTGGCCTCCGAGATAGTCATGAGGGATTAGTGTCTTTTCTTGCCTTTTTATTTTCAATGTATAGATTTAGGATATTAGCTAGTCACCCTGCACAAGAAGCATCGTTATTTCTATATACATATATAGTCAATGAAGAACAG